TAAGGTTTTACAAACTCTGGAAAGTTTCTGCCGATAGAGTTTCCTGACATTGGCTCTGAAAATATCACTTTGACCTCTAATTCTCTCCTCTTACCTCCAATATTCTGCTTCCTTTCCCTCAGTGTCTATAACAGGCTGTAGGATCAAGTACTCTATATGAATTTAGTAGCACTTTCCAACCATTCCTTTGCCTCTAGCACGTTGAACAAGATGTTCTGAAGAGCTGCTCATGACACCTGGGGAACTGTGATATTACATTCTGCCATCAGGTTTGTCTACACTGGGAAAATTCATTGGGTTACAATACATTTACTAACCAACATGTCACACGTGATTTTCTCCTTAGAGTGGACAAGGGCAGTTGTGTTAAACCACAATCAGATAACATAATCCTTGTCCACACTAAAGGCAAAATTGTATTTCATGTCATGATAGTTTGCTGACAAGTTTTCTAAGATGGTGCCTTTTCCCACAATAGACAAGGCAGCAGACAGAAATCATTTTGTTTCTATGGCCATGTCTACACTACAAAGTTATGTTGATTTTATGTAAGTTGACATTGAGACCCCGATTTAAGCAAGTCGCTCTTGTGTGTTCCCACTGTGCTCATTGTGTTGGTGGAGTGCATCCTCACTAGGAGGGCTTGCATTGATGCACGGAGCACTGCATTATGGGTAGCTATCCCACAGTGCATGTAGCCGAGTAGAATTTTGGCCTGGGCTTGCAATGCCTTATGGGACCAAAACATTTGCATGGGTGGTTATAGGAACATGGCATTAGCCTCCCATGATGCACTTACCTCCCTCCCTCCCTGAAATCAATGGCAAACAAACCAAGCCTCTTTCGCACCTATTTTCATAAGTCTGGGTTACCCGTGCAGACACCATAGCACAATAAGCCCGGGCCATGCTCAGCTGTACACTTTGCCGTCAACTGGTTCTGTGAAGGGATAGGCTCCAGGGTTAAAAATAGTTTTTGGCTGTTGGGGACAATAGATCCTCCGCTTGCCTGTCTCACATTCTCCTCCTCCTCCTTGTTGTTGCTCGAGGTCGCCCGGAGTTCCTGGGAGGTATCCACAGAGTGTTTTGGGGTAGTGGTGAGGTCGCCGACGAGAATCGCATGCAGCTCCTCATCAAAGTGGCACGTCTGTGGGGCAGAACCAGAACGACTGTTCACCTTCCTTGTCTTCTGGTACACTTGCCGAAGCTCCTTTATTTTCACGCGGCACTGCTGCGTGTCCCTGGTGTAGCCCTCCTCCCCCATGCCCAGCATGTTTTTGGCATAGATGTCAGCATATCTTCTGCTGGATCAGAGCTCTGCCTGCACAGACTCTTCTCCCCACACAGCAATAAGATCAATCATCTCCCGTGTACTCCATGCTGGAGCGTGTTTGTGGCCTTGAGTCTCCATGATCAGCTGTGCTGGAAAGCTCTCCACGCTGATCAAACAGGAAATGTGTCCTTGGAAGTAAAAGATACTGTGGCAACTTCGCGCTGCCACATCCTCCTCCCTGGCAGCATCTCCACCAGGGGAGATTTGGTTTATGCTGGTGGAATCCAGTGTTAACTCAGGGTGAATTTAGCCACGGTTCCTTAACAGTATTCACCATCTGAATCAAGGGCATTTCCCAGGTGCTGCTGCAAAAAGCCCAGCATCCAAAAAAGGGAAAGCTATATGTCCATATTTAATTTGCTCTCCTTTATATTCCATCAATGCTGGTAGCCATGAAGGTGCTTTGGGAAAGTTAACAGAACCTTCCTTCTTCCCTTCCTTAGAAGGCACTGGGAATCAGTCTGATTGCAAGGGACTTTGGCATGAGAATGCTGCAGAATTACTGAGTTTAATCCTCCTTGAGCTGCCAGGAAGAGTAATAGTGTAATTTTCTTTTGTTAATCCCAGAGACAGTAATTAAATTATCTGGGATCCCATCTGAGTGTTGTACTCCACATGCCATTTGGACTGTCTTTATCCCCGCTGACCAGTACCACATGTACCTTATTAATTTAAAGATGACAACTCAGTGCAAAGATGCGTCATGCACTCGTTACAGTCAGGAATTTTGGGGGAGGGGACTGGAAGGTGGGGTGGAAGAAGGAAAGTTCACACAGACTATATTGTGGAGAGACATGCTGTTTCTCCATAGTTAAGGTTGAAACAAATCTCCTGTCAGAAGGCAGGATTTCCCTCCTCCTCCTGCTCCAATTTAGTCAAAAAGGAAGGAAACAATCAAACTTGGTACTTATCTTCCATGGCCACAACATAAACATTTCCTATCAACTTTGGTGTAGGTCAGAAAACTGGAGTTTGTGTTAGTAGAGCAGATCCTCCACCCCCATTCCAGCTGCTCTGCACTGTGAATACTTTTCCAGGTATCCCTTATACAAAGAAGTCCCAGCATGGTTATACCACCTCTGCGCCACACACTTCTGATCTCCCGGGTGTAGGGAGCATATTGCGGACTGGAGGGGGTATGGCCAAAGCACCCTGGATGTCAGAGGGGGCTGTTACTGTCAGCATAATTCAGTGATCACTCTATATCTGATCTATCAGTCCTCATCCTCAAAGGAAACCTGCACAACACATTTACAAAGATGAGCCCAGGAGCTTAAATTCATAACTTTGCTAGACACAAAAATCATGGTCTTAATAAAGATACTGGATTTATGGCTTATCACAACAAGCTAACCCACTAAACCCCCATTTTGTCTTATGACTACAAGGGTGTTAATAGGTCACTTTCACCTTGAATGGTCCCTTATAATAGGTGCTAACTACTTATGCTGAACGATCTGTTCCGTATTTAACTGTGACACTCTGGGAAAGGTATTCAGAGGGTATGTCTATACTGCAATTAGACACCTGCGGCTGGCCTGTGCCAGTTGACGCGGGTTCGCGGGGCTCGGGCTAAGGGGCTGTTTAATTGCGGTGTAGATGTTCGGGCTCGGACTGAAGCCTGGGCTCTAGCTCCATGTGATGCCCAGGGTTCCAGCACTTGGGCTACAGCTTGAGCCCAAATGTCTATGCCACAATTAAACAGCCCCTTAGCCTGATCCCCGCAAACCCAAGTCAGCTGGCACTGGCCAGCCACAGGTGTCTAATTGCAGGATAGACATACCCTCTGAATACCTTTCCCAGACCTGAGGAATGGCTCTTTGTATCTCAAAAGCTTGTCTCTCTCACCAACAAAAGTTGATTCAATAAAAGATATTACCTCACCTACCTTGCCAGCATAATTTAGAGTAGTTTTGAGCAGCTCAGTGGGTCCAAAGAATCTGGTCCATTGTGTCTGATATTGTAAAGTCCCCTCTTTAAAAATGATTCTAATGTCTTACTGGCTGCTTTTCTTTCACTTATTCCTTCAACTACATGCTCCATAATCATCCTGTTTTCTCTGTCTCCGTAAGAAATGGGGCCTTTCACTGTCCTCTCTCTCCCCAATTTATTGAATACCTGTTGTACTATTCCCATCTGTTATGAAGTAGAGACAGCACTCAACATGCCTTATGAAACATAATTTGATGTGCCCATTTGCATACTTTGCTACTCTGGACAGGTATTTTTCTATATACAAGAATAACTGCAGTGTATAATTAAAATCAATGACCAATTCAACAGGGAACGCATGCATTTGTATACGGAAATGAAAAAAAAAAGAGGTCACTTCTACACAAGGTAGAATAAAAAATGTGTAAGGCATATCAGCTCTCATGCTTCATGATAGAAGTCAGCCACTACCTGTCTGAGGTTAGGAGTAAAATTCCCAAATAGGCATAGAATCACAGAAATGCAGGGCTGGGAAGGATCTCAGGAGAACATCTGGTCCAGCCTCCTGTGCTGAGGCAGGGCCAAGAAAATCTAGACCATCCCTGTCAGGCGCTCATCTAAAATGTTCTTAAAAACCTCCAGCGATGGAGATTCCACCATCTCCCTTGGAAGCCTATTCCAGTGCTCAACTATCCTTATAGCTAGAAAGTTTTTTCCTAATATCTTACCTAAAACTCCCTTGCTGCAGATTAAGTCTGTTGCTACTTCTCCTATCTTCAGTGGATGTGGAGAACAATTGATCTCCATCCTCTTTATAACAATCCTTAAAATATTTGAAGAACTGTTATCAGGTCCTCCACCACCCCCAGTCTTCTTTTCTCAAGACTAAATATACCCAGTTTTTTCAACTTTTCCTCATTGGACAGGTTTTATAAGCCTTTCATCATTTTTGTTGATCTCCCCTGGACTGTCTCCAATTTGTCCACATATTTCTTAAAGTGTGCTACCCAGAACTGGACACAGTACTCCAGTCTGAAGTCTTACCACTTCCAAGAATAGCAAGACAACTATCTTCCATGTCTTACATATGACACTCCTGTTAATACACCCAAAAATGATATTATCCTTTTTCACAACTACATTAATTTGTGATCCTCCATAACCCCAGATCCTTTTCAGCAGTACTATTGCCTAACCAGTTAATCCCATTTTGTAGTTGTGCATTTGATTTTTCCTTCCCAAGTGTAATAATTTGAACTTTTCTTTATTAAATTTCATCTTGTTGATTTCAGACCAGTTCTGTGATTTATTAAGATCACTTTGAATTCTAATAATATCCTCCAAAGTGCTAGCAATCCTTCCCAGCATGGTGTCACCTGCAAATTTTATAAGCATACTCTCCACTCCATTATCCAAGTCATTAATGAAAATATTGAATAGTTCCAGGATGCCCACCAATTCTCCATTACGGGGATTTTATACTTTCATCTGAAATAGTTGTTATTGACCTCTACTGGAGACAGAATACCAGGGTATATGGGCCATTGATCTGGCATGGGATGACAACTCCAATGCTCCCATGGTATGAAAGCAAAGAAAAATGTTGCTTGAGACCCAAAAATCTGAAACAATGGCACCTCTGCACAGACACTGACATGCCAAGGAACTTCAGAGGAAATCTATAGCTAAACCCAAACTTGATACCTGCTAGCTATAAGGACCGAGCCGTCTCTCACCTGCAACTTGGCAGCTAATGGTAACATTTGCACCTGGGATTGTTTTCACTGTGCTTCCAATGTCAACTGTGACAGCGGAGGACTCTGTGTTGATCAGCGTAGCTCTTGATGCTTTGATCAGTGGTTTTCCTGTACATAAAAGACACCTTAGTTCACAAAGCAAAATACATGGTAGTCACAAAGGGAAGACTGTGAACAATATGCTCGATATAGAAATACAAATGGCTGATGTGGGACAGCTAACTGCCAGTGTGTGATGCTGGAGTATGAGTAATGCAGGCCACCTGCTCTTGGCTTTACTATATTATTGAGGAGTTGCTCAATTTCATAGTTGACGTTGCTTTGAAAAAAATCACTTAAAGCAGTGAATGAATAGCATTAAAGTCATGCCAGCACATCTGAGAACCAGCTGAACTAATAAACAGCAATACAACCGAAGCAGCAGCAAGCTGTTCACCTGATCTTGCAAGGCAGACAGTACCATGTGCCAAGGACCAAACATAGGACAAAGCCCCCAAAGGATGGATACGGGCTCTTTAGCAGTGCAGGAGGCTTAGAACAACATGTGATCCATTTCTTTATCATCAGTCATGTTTTCCATAAACTCCGTTTTAGGTGCACAAAATAATTAATAATAACAGAAGCGAGACAACATCAATTCTGGATGGGAGCAAGGTATATGTGCCAAAAACTGACAGTCAAGAATTCTAGCCCTTGACTGCTGCCATTCTGTTTAACTATGGGGTTGTGCATCATGTTGCTCTGGGACATTCTCTTAGTGTATGGCATGGTGGCATCCTAAATGCTAACAGAGGGCAGCTGGCAGAAGAGAGAGAAGGGCAGTCTATGCAGCAAGCTCAGCACTTAGAAAGCTGCGCCTCGGGGGGACTAAGATGCAATGGCAGCTAGCAGCGTGACTGTAAGAGTGGCATGGGAGCAGCCGGTGGTGGAGGTGAGTGTGGTGTGTGTGATGGTGTGAGGGTTGGTACAACAGCATGACCGTGGGGAGGGGGCGGGGGGCGGGCAGCAGGGGAAGTGTGTGTATTGATGTGTGCATTGGGCCATAGGTGTGTTTGAGAGTAGCGGCGTGAGAGTTGTATCACAGTGACACGAGTGCAGGGAAGCAGCAGCCTGTGTATCTGCATTAAATGGGACTTGGGGTTGGTGTGGTGTATGGGTCAGTGCTAGGTTTAGGCAATCTGGGGCTCTAGATGCACTGCATGTGGAGCCCTGGCCCTGTATTTTGGCCCACTCCTCTTGGGAATTGCAGTGGCCACCCATAAAATGGCCGTCTGATGGGGGCCCACTACTGCTACATGTTACACAGGTTGGGCCTCTTCTCTCTGTTTTCAGGAGGCCTGGGTCCATCTTAGTGGAGGGAGAACTCCCACAACCAAACAGATGAGGGAAGGGGGTGTCTGTGTGGTCCCTGTTGAATCTTCTGTAGATCCATGACAGGATGGTAACAGCAAAATCCATCCTTCTTGGGTGATGGTAGTAAGGGACCCAGCTGTGGGGTTCAAAGTTAACCACCCATTAAAATATAAATTTCAAACCTGTCAGAGCTATTATTTTAGGATGTCTGCAGGCTCAGGCAGACGACATTGCCTCAGTTACATCTGACTTCATTTTCCAACTCATCTTCACCATCATAAGGGTTAGAAATATTTTTTTTAAATGAAAGCTTAGATTGTGACACCATCATGCAACTTCAGGGGCCAGGGCCCTAGGCTAGTGCCTATATTATTTATGACTTAATCTGGCTGTAAATCTGCAATTGCAGCACAGGAGGAAACTGGCCTAAAAAGCCTGAGTGGAGGTAAGAAAGAGGGGGAAAAAAAACGTTCAGTTTGTTTTGGTTGGATGGATGATTTGCTCAAACTGTTTCAATTGCCCCTAATTAAAATCCATAAACTGCCATGTGGATTTAGAGTATTTCCAGGACTGTTAAAAGCATTTTTGATATAGAGTTGCTAGTGTATCAATCCATCTATCCATCAACCTACCGTGTCTATCATGTGAATGGAATATCCAGCAACAAATGTTTTGCTTCACTGATGAAATGCTCACAAAGTTCTGATGTTTTAATGCAACTACTAAATCATAAAAGAAGGAAAGAGACCTCAAATAGCAACTCAGCTTTTATTTTCCCAGCGGGGGTTTCATGATCTCTTCATTAGATTAAAAATCTGTCAACTGTTCAACCAATAAAAAATAGCAAACCACTCCAAAAATGGAAGCACATTTTCTCTGTCTCTCTGCATATGCGAAATTCATCAGAGAGACCAAGTCCTTCATTTTTAATGAGATAAGCTTTCCCCACATTTCCCAGTTCCTCTGAAGAAGCTCTCTGGCCTTCAATGCATTTGGGAAAATACCTCTTTTGTGCCAAAAAGTTTTGTTGCGTTGTTTCAAAAATTACCCATTATCTCATCCGTACAACTGGGGATCATCTTGCAAGGTGCTGGCGGAAGATGAAGATGCACAGCACCTTACAGGAGGAGCTCGGGGCCACCAAGATCATGCCCAGGAAGTCTGCAGTTGACAATTCACCTCAAAGTCGATCCAAATTTTGGATAATTCATTACCTCAAAAGGGCTGCTGGGTCTGTAAAATCCCACGTGCACGTCTGAGTCTGTGTGGACGCTTCTATAGCTTGAGAACCATTTGTTTCCATAAATTGCCTGGGATGAAAACTGATTTGACCATCGAGGCTTCCAAATTCACATATACAGAACTATCCCACAAGGAATTCATCCATCAGGACTATAAGGACTGCAAAGCCTCTTTACCACTATGCCACTCCCTAAAGATGCCATTTTAAAACTGCATGTTAAATTCATCTCTGATGTAACTCCAGAACTACACTATGTATGAACTTTGTCTAATATTTTATAATATAGTATCAATACAAAATTTAGGGCCTTGCACCAGTTTTACTGTGACATCACTCCATTGAATTCACCGGAGTACTCCAGGTGAGAGTAAAATCAGGCCCTTTGTTTTTGCAAACTTTAAATTTTTAATTAAAATATTGTCTGATTTAGCTCTTCCCTTTCCCCCGCAAGGGCACCAGCTGCTTCTACTCCATGGGGTAGGTGAGGTGTCTTTCCAACCAATCTTATTAAATGAAAGAGCTGCTTTCAGCCCAGACCATGTCTCGCCTAGTGCTCCCTTGGTCTAGGGTCAGCCTGTGTTCTGGGTTGAAACACTCACTCACAAGTCCAATAATACACCTCTGCCTCTCTATTCAGCACACCCACCACTGATGATTATTATTTACATAGACACATACTGGGGACCTGCAGCAGTGAAACATGAGTGAGCTTTACTGTCAGATATGGAATTTCAAACTACTTATTGGTAGTTTTACTAATATGTTTTCTTCGACCCCTCTCTCTCCCCTTGACAAACACATTCCACTTCCTCTTGACCTCTTTGTCTTGCTACAACCCCTGAGCTTTGACTGCCTCTCCTTCCTTCTCCCCATCCTTCGCATCCATTCCCCATTCACCCTCTCGCTGCTTTGGTCTTCTCCTCCTCCCCCGCTGTGGCTCTGAACCTGCTGGAACCCTCTGCAGATGTGTTTCCAAAAAGATGAAGACAAGTACAATCTTACAATTCTCTTGTTTTTCCCAGGGAGGTTTTTATTAGCATTGACGCCTAAATGAACAAAGAATATTTAGTCTGGTGTGGAACTGAACCATTACTGGATACACATGAAGCAGAAAGTTAATCCTTTATGAATCTTTATTTCCCAGTGGGTGGAAGAATGTCAGTCATGATTTGGTGAGAACAGGTTAGAAAGGACATACAGCTTGATTCTGAAAAGTGCTGAGTGCTCTGATCCCAACCCAGTGAAGCACTTGCTTAATTTTATCTACTTGAACGTTCCCCTTGATTTCAACAAGACCATTCCCAGGTTTAAAGTCACGGGTTATGTGCTTAGCTGGATTGGGACTAGAGTGCGCAGCGACTACAGGATGGTGCTAACAGTAACTAGAGCCCCATAGGATGCATTCTGTGCAAGGGTGGTGAGAAAACCACTGATGATTTGAAATAGTCATTGAAAATGCAAATATTTTATAAATGAAAGCTCTCTGCATAATTTGAAGCTTGACCTTGGGACATGGCCTGCGGCTGTTCAAAATTCTGGATATTATCTGTCCGGCCTCAACACATATCTTCCCTCAAATCTAACTCATTCACTGGGGCACCTAGCTAAAAGAGCAATTTCCAGTGGAACAAAGTGGATTGATGTTATTTCCATACAGACACGAGAGGGAATAATTTATGTTGTCCATTTTGACATTCGGCTTAAGAGATCCCATGTTTTTAGTCACACAAGATTTGGGAGGAGGAAATGTTTTGGGGCACCACAGAAACTGCCTGGCTCCTCCGGTGTTCCCAGGGCAGTTGAGATTGTCCAAGGTGCTCAGGCTGCCACCCCCAAGTTTAATTATGCACATCGGGAAGAGGGGCTAGTGGCAGGGTGCTCTGGGTGTGGGAAATTGTGGAACTGTGGAATGCATTTCCAGTCTCAGTTTGCTACAGCTGGAACCTGCTCATCTTCAGACCACGCTGCAAATGCTATTTGTCTTTCCAGGGTTTTTCTGGCAGGGAGGGATAAATTGGTGGGCATTGAGGGAGAGTTTGGGGATAATTTTGGTGAGCTTTGGAGAGTTGTTATTGTTTTTAGGATTTTGCGATTTGTGTTTTAGTTACATAGTAACTGAATGCGCGTACCCATCTGTACTTGATAACATACCGGTAGCAGAAAGAGTTCTGTATAATTGATCTAACTTTTCCGTTACCTGCTAAAGTGACCGCAATGGAGACAGAGTCAGATCCCAAAGCATTAGTTGCATTGCAGGTGTAGAAACCCACATCAGCTTCCACTGGCGCTAAAATCTGCAAAGAGTCATCTGGCTGAAGGAGTATCCTGGAGCAACAGAGAAATACAGAAGCAAAGGTCTCAGCAAGTCTGTGTGCAAACTCTTTAGCAAGGATTAAAGAGTTATATTTAAAGAGACACAGAATGACAAGTAAATTACATAGTTTTGCACATGTTGGGCCTGCAGATTTTGTTTAAATAAAGAAATAAAGTTATGAAAATCAGGGGTTAAACATCTTATGTGGTGATTGTGATTACATGCAAGTTAATTTAATTCTCAACACTGCTGCACCAGGTTGCTGATGGAAGAGGCAGAATGGTCCAAAGGCTGCGCACTAGTCTAGCACTTGGAAAAGTGGGGTCTCCACTCTGTCACAGACTTCCTGTGTGATCTTGGGTAAGTCACTTAGCTTTTCTGTGCCTCAGTTACCCATCTATACAAAGGGGATAATAGCACTGCCTTACATCCTGGGGCATAGTGTGGATAAATAAATAAATAATACAATAATTTGTTTGATGCTCAGATACTGTGGTACTGGAGGCCAGGTAAGTACCTTAGCTAAACAGGACCTAGCTCGCTAGATTAGCTCAACATGCCTTGGAGTGTGGGGCAGGTGTAGCATGTAAGAACAGCTAGCTGAACTTTTTGGACTGTATGAAAGCTGTCTTTAATTTGTCTGTATTGGACAATGACTCTGGTGAATCCTGAAGACCAATCAGCAAAAAATGATGGGTCTGATTCTGCTCCACTGATTTAAGAGGGATCAGGATCAGGCCCTACACTATAAATAACTCAAACATTAAGAATGATTCAATTGATTTTAAAGAAAAAGGTACCTTCACAACTGGATTGTAAGATACAATTTGTTTAAAGTCTCTTGCACTAGAAATCTTCAACGCTACTGTTACTTAAGTAAATCAATTCACACAAAGAGCAGGACTCCAGTCTATGGCATATACCGGTAATAACCACAAAGGCTTTCTAAACCTTTTATATTTTCCAGTCTTTCTTTACAGGTCACATTTTCAAATAATTGCCAGATTTTCTACAAATGATTTACCCACCTTTTAACAACACTGCACAATAAGATGGTACATATTTTTATTTGGTCAAATTGTAACATCAAATTTTGCTTCTTACAAACTATCTCACAAAAATGATATAAATTGGGGACAACTGAGAGGCTTGAGGCACTGCTAAACTGCTACAGTAATTGCACTTTAAAACACTAATTTAGTTTTTAGAGAGATTCCAGATTCCAGCAATATTCCCCATTTTAAGTTTAGGGACTCTCTCTCAAATGGGTAGTATCTTTCAAAATGGAACAAATCTCTGTAATTAGTTATTGTTTGTTTTTTGGTGCTATCTGGATGCCTCAAGTGAAATTGAAACCCTACTGTGCTAGGCACTGTACAAAATCATAGCCAGAGAAGTCCCTGTCTCAGAATGCTTACATTCTAAAGAGACAAGACAAACAGAGGGTGGAAGTGGAAATGGAAGCATCACTATTGCCAATGCCACGTCTTCAAAGCCACGATTCTGGAGGTCCTAACTCATAAGTTTAGCTTGCAAATCAGGAGGTTTTAAAAATAATAAAACCTTTATTTGGGGTTCTCTTTATTTGGGGTTCTCTTTATTTTCTGTCTCTTTCTGGAGCCTTTTGAAGTCACATTGTCAAGCTTTTCTCTGAAATAATAATAATAACCTGCTTTAGAAAAAAAGAAAACAAGAAAAGAAAACAGATTCCCTCATAATCAAAGGGACCTCAACATTGGGGGTTTAAGGAAAACACTGAACATTGAGAGACCTGTGATTAAATTGTGAGAGTTGACAACACTGGGCACAGAGTGGTGAAGTGAGTTGACCAAGGCCACACAGCAAGGCAGTGGCAGAGGTGGGAACAGACTCCAGGTCACCCTGACCTACACTGTGGAACTTTGTATGAGCTGAGAGCACAGAGGCTTGATTCTACACCCTCTCAAACTAGTTTTACATCAGTGTAACTCCACTGACTCCTGATTTTTGCTGTGTAAGTGAGATCAAAATGTAGCCCTGAGAATCCAACTAACACGTATATCAAATGTCCTCAACTGCAGCACTATGTATTTCCTGTTAAGGTAGGAATATAGAACCTACTTCCATTCATTCGTAGATTTAACTAATGACAAAACCTAATGACAAATTTGCTTTATACTTTCAGCAGCTGTTCTGCATAAAACCCTTAGCCAGGATGGTGATTAATACAGACAAGGGTGGGAGTGGGAGAGGGAAGAGAGATGGAAGGAAAAAGCCCATCCAAGTCATGCAATCGAAGTCTGATCCACTAACCCTGAGCTGATGAGGTTTTTTTTCTTGAATGAAAACTGCTGTCTCATGGACCACAAGGCTAGGGATATTTGATCGTGCTCAACACCATGGGTGGTAGTTCTCTAAAACAAACCAGATTCAGGCCACCCATTGAATTCTATTAGGATCAGAGAGGAGTCTGATTTCCTTTAAAACCCATTTTTAAAATAATAATCACAATAACAGAGATTCAGCTTGTGCCAACCATGTCTTGCAAGTGCTTAGTGAAATGCAGAGTCATTTACAAGCCAAAATGTTATTCATATTTAAATTGCTGACATGCTTGTGTAGCAAAAGAAAACAATAATTGATAGAAGCCCCTCCTCCAGACTTAAGGATTGTTTTATCTCTTAAAAACCTTTGAATTTAAGGGGCAAATTTTCAGTGAGCCTGTGAGATCAGGCCAGCAATTTTTGCATATGCAAACAGCTGTGCATGCAAAAATTTGGTAGTTAGAGGTCTATTGGTTCAATCAGCACATAAAAATGATTTTAAACCCACAAGACTTGGCAATTTTTTCCCAGTAGCATCCTTCCAAATAACAACAAGGAAATGGCTTCACCTTGCTTTCGGGGATATATCAAAGAATCCAGACAACAGCAAAGCAAACACGTTAGTGCAAAGCATTGTGTTGATGTCAAAATGAAAAACACTTGATGTTGATGCACAACAGGTATCCTTGTATCTTTCAGTCTCAGTCCATCATATTTAACTGTGGCTGATTTAACTGGTTCAAGCATTTCAGCTGACTCTTGATGAGCCTTCCTGAGCTAAAAATGTGTGTGTTACGCACCCACTCACCCCACAAATATAGACTCAGGGCTTTATATAAACTGACAGACTGATTGATCCCTAGGGTTAAAGTAACACACACACTTTTTTTTTTAAACAGACAGGAATCTTTTCTAAAAAGTCCACATCACCATCAGGGTAGGAATACATTTCTTTAATTTAGCTGGTTCTGGTTCTAATGCTACTATAGTGCTGGTACAACAGTTGATTAACTCTGGGTGTTTCCAATCTGTTTTGGGGTGAAGACAAAAACATAAGGGGCTAGATCCTCAGCTGTTGTAATTTGGCTCCATTGACATCAATGTAGCTGATGATCCAGCTTAAGTCCTTTTAGGAACAGGAAAAGGCCAACTGAGTTCAACACACTTGCCTTTAAAAAAATAAATCAGTTTCATTTGAGCTTCTGGTTTTTTCACCATGTCTCTCAATCCCCTCCTTATCTAGAAATAAATCTAAGTTTCTCTTAAATTCATTAACACTTTTTACTTCAATTGCTTTTCTTCGAAACTTCTTCCACATTATTATCCTTTGCATGAAACCATTGTGCCCTGAGATTCCTATTTACTCCTAGTCTCCTGTTTTTATTGTTAGGTTTTGAGTGTCTTATCTGTTGTAAAAAAATACCTACCAGATGTAACAATCCTAGGTCATTTCAAAAACCTGTTTTTTCCCCCTATAAAAATACCCCAGCTCCCTTCACATTTTAATCTGTCTGATCTTGGTTGCCCTACACTGCATCGTCTCCAAGAAAATATATTTTGAGCCATACTGACTAATTCTGTAGTTCGGATGGCATCTAACAAATGCTTAATACAGAAACTCCTCATTCTCAGGTTCCCATATTCAAAGGGTTCTTACCACTGGAAATTAGAGAATATTTGGAACACAAGACACTTTTTATAAAGTTATTGAAGCTGGAGCAATTGAGCAATTCATAACCTCTTACAAAGATCGGTATTCCTCAGACTTGATTTCTCAAGTAGCTAATCTGACTACCTTCTTTGCCTATATTTACTTTCCATCATTTATAGAAGGCCCAGGTGCTGGAATTTGGACTTTCCTCCTCTGAAACTGAGTTGGCTCTGAATAGTGGATGAAGCTAGACAGAACACATGATGGTGTCACCCTGGGTAACACTTCTTTTAAAACTATAGTGTAAAAAGTGACAATGTAAAGTCAAGGATCAGAATTCCTGCAAGTGCCATCAAACATATTTGTCCACTGAAACTTTTTATGATGTATGTTTAGTTTGCATGAGCAAATACAAAAAATCACTGCTCTTATTTTTTTTTTGGCCTGTCCAGTATACCGAGAGAAGTAGAACTATATATCAGTAATCATGGATGCTTTTGGGTTGACTAGGTGGCTTGTGGGGCTTGGTAATGGGCTATAAAGTCTTCCATTGGAAGGTCATTGGTTCAAATTGAGCCCATATCATACAGTCTGAAAACTGAAAAGGAGTACTTGTGGCACCTTAGAGACTAACCAATTTATTTGAGCATAAGCTTTTGTGAGCTACAGCTCACCTCATCGGATGCATACTGTGGAAAACACAGATGTTTTTATACACACAAACCATGAAAAAATGGGTGTTTATCACTACAAAAGGTTTTCTCTCCCCCCACCCTACTCTCCATAAGCTATTACCAGCAGGAGAGTAGGGTGGGGGGAGAGAAAACCTTTTGTAGTGATAAACACCCATTTTTTCATGGTTTGTGTGTATAAAAACATCTTTTGTATTTTCCACAGTATGCATCCGATGAAGTGAGCTGTAGCTCACGAAAGCTTATGCTCAAATAAATTGGTTAGTCTCTAAGGTGCCACAAGTACTCCTTTTCTTTTTGCGAATACAGACTAACACGGCTGTTACTCTGAAACCAGTCTGAAAACTATTACCACTATTCACGAGACTCAGTCCCTGACACAGGAGCATACAACCTAAATACACAGACAACCCAAATCAGACATCAACAGATGGCTTGGCCACCACGGTCAAGAGCTGATGCAGGAAGTGGTATCCACATTCTTTTTCTCCTTCCTTTTCGTCTTGGGAGGTGGGCTGGCAAATTATCTCCTCTCCCTTGTGTGGTCAGCCAAGCATGAAGAGGACAGACTGCAGACCTACTGGCTACATGCAGGCTGCCTTGTCAGACCTAGTGGAAAACACCACTTTTGCTCCCATTTACACGGGTGATTGACAGCTAGCAAGTGGCTATTTAGCCAAGAAAGGAATGCTGCTTTGAGGCACCTCGCAACTCATCTGTGGCCTGATTTTCAAATGTGCTGTGGTCGCTCAGTTACCACTAACTTCAGAGTTATTGGTCCTCAGCACACCGGAAAATCAGGGCACTGGCATTTAGTACTTCTCCCACCCAATCTGGAGGGAACATGCAAGGGGGGATGGCAGGATGACAAAATGAGCACGGCCTGCCTGGCTGTCTGAAGTAGAGCTGCCAAATGGTACCATGGGCCACCAAATAACTGCATGCCCCTAAGAGCAGTTCAGATAATATGTTTCAGCATGTGTAGTAAGCAGTCTGTTGCCAATCCATCCAAAATGATAGCATATCATTTGATGCTATTTCAGCCAAGTAGAACGGAAAAAAATTGAAAAGCATAATATAGACTATTGCTAGGTGTCCAGTTTTTGACTGGAAAGTCTGGTTTTCAGAGGACCTATACAGTCTCCGGTCAGAAGTATTGACTGGATACCAAAAGTCTGGTTGCCACAGTTTCGTTGTCAAACCAGCCCATGGCCCCTTTAACCCAAGAGTGCTGGGCCCAGAGCCAGGGAGGGGCAGAACTGGAGGCTGCTAGTCCTGGCCAGGCTGAGGAGGGACACTTCATCTTCCCCTGCAAAGGCTGCTCCCGGCGCCAGATCAGGCCCATCTCTGGGAACCTCTCTCAGTTGCAGGAAGCTCCCGCGCCACAATTTCCTGCTCCCATCAGTCCCTGCAAACTCTTTTCCTCAGAGCCACTGCTGGACGGAGAAGGAGAGACGCAGTCCCCTTCAACCTCCCTCTTCTCTTTATGGTGAGTTCAGCCTTTGGACGGGGGGGGGGCTTTGTTTTGTAGTGTCCAGTTTTGAGAAATTGGAAAGTTGGCAACCCTAAATATAGTAAATATATATTATTTAAATTAAATTTTAGAAATCAAAGGCTATTTGTTCTTTACCAACAAAACAGTAAACCATCTGTTGCTAAATTATGGTTTCTTATATGGTGTGGGATAAATATATAATTTTCTCATGAGTCTAATATTCAGCATAAACCACAGGTGGACTTTATGTAACCTATATTCTCTTTAAAGCATGCCACAAAAATCACAGTAGTTTCAAACAGAAGAAATCACTTGATGGCAGATTTCCAACAGGATGTAACCACCAGCAATGGAAATCTGTGCGTGCAACTTTTTGGGGGCCAAAAAGATATTTTCACAGGACTACGTCCAACCAAATGTATACTGTAGACCCAAGTCTTGATTAAGACTGCATGTGGTTTCCACAAGAGATACATTCTTGTTCTCAGAACCAAAAAAATAGTTCTCATTTTTTGTCAAACTTAGCACTCTATCTGCCAGAAAGAGAAAAGAAAAAGAATCAGAAAAAGCACAGTTGAAAGGGCAATGACACTGCAAGTGCCAATAAATTATAGAAACCATTGAGTCTGGAAGCGATTCAACCATGAAAGTGAGAAAGGAGCAAGCAAACTAACTGTATATCTAAACCAGGGACAAACTGCACCTCTGATAAATCAAGAATTTACTAGATGTTCCACAGCAACAGTGCTTGAAATTAATGTTAGCCTTGAGACTACACTCCTGAGTTTCTTCTCATTTCCCAGGCTGACCCTGGTGACCAGACTTAGATGTTTAACCTCACTCCTATAACTTATGCAGAGGGAACTGGCAGCATATTCTTGGACAGCTGGCTTGTACTACATCAGCTAATGTAGCTGCCTCCAGGCACACCATCACTTCTTGTATGCTACTTGGCGTAAACCATAAAATCCTGAGTATACATAGGATAACAGCATGTTACCAACATATAGCTAAGTACATAACTAGAATATAAAGTGGCTGTGTGTTTGTAAATAATGGTTAGTATGTACTAGTCTTTCATAGTGCTCCCAAAAATGTGTTGCAAATGGGTACTTGAGGGGTCAGTCTAAAGGTTTATAGGAGTGTGCAACTTTCTTTCCATTTAGCAAATAACAAAGATAGGATGCAGCATTCTTCACACAATGCATTATGACATTTTCATTCAGCAAAATTCTTTTAGCAACATTTCCAATGTTTAAGGGTTAAACAAAAAATGTGGCTTTTTCAAACCCAATTTCCTTTACCTGCCCCTTCATTTGAACTCCTGTCTAGTGAAAACACCCTGAAAAATAAATGATTCTTCCCACATCAATTCTATAGGGGCTAATGATGGCTAGAAATGCAGCTCAACCCAGTCTGTGGCTACCAGTCTGCCACAAAGCAGCGGAAACAGCAATTGTGTATGTTCTGTATATGCAGAATGTATCAGAGAAATATGTGCTACGAAGCTCACTGGAGCAATCAAGGATAAAGGCTGGACTCAGCAGACATGGCAGCATTTCAGCCATTAATAAATTAACATGGAAGACCACGGACAGTATTTTTCCTGCAGTTGTTCTCAGGCCACACTCAAGGGCAGATTTTTGCATACTGGCAGTCATGATGCACCTAGTCAAAGCAGAAGACTAATGCCTTTCATGCAATGGAGCATCATATTGTGCTTGTAGCAATGATGTCTGAAAATAGCTGTTAAGCATGATCCTGACATATTAAGAATAAATATGACTGACAATTGTTGGAAAACACAGCAGTAGCCAGCTCAGTTTGGTTCTCTGGTATGGACCACGCTTTGCTAATTTGCCCAGGTTAACTGAAACCAAGTTCAATGTCAAGACAATTACCCTACTGATGGACTGAATATTGTTTCCAATCATTGTTCTAGCACAACTGGACAATTGGTGATTGTGGAAGCAAACTATGTTGCATCCATCTTCTAAAACAGTTTTAAATATGGTTACAAACTCTAGGAATATAGCCTCATCAGAGAACCTGGTTAAAGTGCAGTTACAAACATCGCTCCAATTCATAGTGGAGATGGGACCCTAACCAGCAACCATAGAATTCACTCTTTGCCAGAGAACTGTACCCCAGAATCTCACTTTTACTGTTTCATTGCTGATCATTTTAGCAGAAACATCCAGCAAATGTGTTTAATCCACTACCCAAAATTGCTTCCTGCACCTCCCAATGTGTGGAATTTAATATCAAAATAAATAACACAGAGCACTGTGCTGATTGTCTCATTTTCACAATTAATTGAAAATTTCATTTTTTTAAAATTTAATAATTTTTTAATTTTATTTTAAATTTTAACACCAGACTGCTCCAGAATCCAGTTACCGAGCTATAGAGTTAAAGTCCAGCTTGCTACTGCATAAATGTGGCCTTATCTGTGCCATGTAATCAGACTAAAGCTAAATATGGTTCTATTAGTAATGTAGACAGGCCCTAAAAGAAAGGGAACTGAAAGTACTTCTCCTACCTGTCATTGTATTGCACCTCTGCTCCATTTTTAGCCCAGCTAATGGTGGGCTTTGGGTTCCCAACAGCCTCACAGTGAAGCAGCACACTTAGGGTCCCGCTGGCTAAGACGACCGTCTGTCCCAAGTGAGTGACAACTTCAGAGGCTGAGAGCTGCTGAGCTGCAGAAATCTTCCTGAGGATTGCAGGCTTTCGATGGGGCCTGCGTGAGCCATTCCCCAGCTCCACTGAAGTTGGCAGATGTGCTTCGGCAGACGACGTTCTCAAGGAACTGGTGAATCCAGACACCTGTTTGCGGAAAGGGAACTCTGCCATAGCTGAACCAATTCTTCTCCCCTGGACTTTGAAAACAGATTCTTGATTTTCCAAATGGCTCTTGAAGATGTCATCAGCTAGCTGCACAACAAGCTGCTTGCTGTAGACATCCTTAAGTTCCTCAGGCTGCTGAGACAAATTCCTTATGATGTCATCCAAGCGTTTCTGCTCCGTGACCATGGTAAATGGAAGGCTGTACTCCTGACTCTGCTCCTCCTCTGAAGAGGCATTTCTCTCTGTTGACTCCTGAGCCTCCCAGGATTCCAGGTTTTCCACAGGCCAGCCTCTCTGCTCCAGAAGTCTTGAGACAATGTCATCATACTGGCTGCTAGGATCAGCCAAATGCCCTCGTTTCTCGGCCTTGCTCCTGTTGAAGAGAATCCCATTCTGATGCTTCTCCTGAGTGTGCAAGGCTTCATTCAAACTGGACTTCCGTGTACCTTCTTCCTCTCTAATCCCAGCTGGTTGGTTGATGATGATTTTATTGTTGCCTCCAATTAGTTTAATCACAAAATGTTCCCGGGCTGGCCCTGCTATGCAGGTGTACGTGCCAGCATCCGAAGGCTTTAAACGGTGGATCTTTATGTACCCGTACGGTGCAATGGTAATGTGAACTGAGCTGAGGAGTCGCTTGTTGTCCTTCTCCCAGGTGATCATTGATTTACGGAACCTTCTCACCGGACATCGGAGGACAACAGAAGTTTTGGGCAGTAGGTAGGCATAGCCACCCACAATAAAGTGTAGCTTCTTCTGCTTCTTTGTCTGGATGTAAACATTCTTCAGGGCCATAATATGGGGGCTTTGCTTTTGAGCCGGCCTGTTGTGCCCTGAAATGTAACTAATAATATTAGGATGTGGGTACTGTTAAACAAAACAAGCCACTTATTTTGGCACTGGCAGTAATTTCAACTATTACATTTTATGGGAGTAATTGGTTACCAGCTGCTGAACATCAAGCTACCACCATCAAAATGCAAGAAATAACAAGGTGCCATTTAGCAACACAAATATCATCCTGCTGAGGTTAAATGTAGAAGCCGTAGTGCCAGGGATTGGACTGAGAAGGGAACTCTGTGAGGAAACAGAGTCCCTGTTGGGTGAGTATTTAAATGAAGAATGTGGGTTAATAGACACGGAAAGAGGACAAAAGGGAAGGAGAGTTCCTCTTGTTAAATATTTACCATTCAGGCCCTGCAAGGCACCACAACTTTGTAGCTCATAGCTCTGAGAAGGAGTGAAAGTGTTACGACCTCAGGGATTCATATTAAACAGAACAAATCTGTTTAGAGTAGGTTTAAAACCCCAGGGTGCATAATATTATACTTAATTAGTTATGTGGGTCCCTCCAGCTTCCAGATCTCTCTGCCAGACAAAGGAAAAACATGCCTCCATGGGAAGCACAGCATAAAGCAGCAAAGGTATATTATTAGCAGAGACGGATTGAATCTGGACATTTGGTTCTGGGTTTGGCTCTGGATTTCAAAGCTTCTGTTTCTCTTCCCCTCTCCATCCAAAGTTTATGAGGTTTTGGATCTGGGATTCTGGTTCAGCTCATTGTAGAGCTAGGGACAGATTTGCTTTTAAATCTCCCTGCACCAGACTATCCTGCTTCATCCGAAGGCAGGGCATACAGGAGTGCTGCCTACTGTCTTCCCAAAGGGTCTCCACCAATGGGAAGCAGCTTTAATTTCTGCTGTAAGGTCCCATAGGAGCCCAGCTGGCACAGGCTGCTGAGGGGATGTGCTAAATGAGCATGTCCTCAAACCATGACTACACACCCTCCCCAGCCAGTGCTGCCCACTTCATTGGTGGTTCTTACTCCCTATGGGCCCCTGGCAGAGAGGACATTGTAGCTGCCAGGAGGGTACTGTGCCTCTAATCCCTAATTGTGAAAGTTAGATCTGGGTTTCGGTCTGGATCACTCCTCACCAAAATGGAAGAGGTTCCCGTTCAGGGGGTTTGTTTCAGACCCACCTCTAATAATCACCATTAGAGCTCCCATTCCTTACTTTGTCTTGTTGCTAGGTTCACAGCTAACACTGGCAAAGCATCAGCTGCTCAGCTCTCTTTATAAACCATGGGAGAAAGCCCCAAATAAGAAAATACAGGACCCAGTTGTCATTCAAGGTGCTGAGCACCTTTGACTCTCAGTGAGGTAGTTGAGAGCGGAGGGCTCCCAGCACCTTGCGGTGCACTTAGCAATCTTAGTACCAGATACTTAGTGGTGGAGCTCCTGCCCTCTCTCTACAAACACGCCAAAGTTTCTTGTGCACTCACTTGTGCAAGCAGTTAGTGCACAGGACCTGACTAAAGAAGAGAGAGGCAAAGGTGGGCACATTGAGGAATTGATGATGACAGAACCTCCAGTTTTCAGCATCTTCCTGCAAATGGCATTTCGAGTCTGGGTGCCCTCTCCACAGCTCACTGAACACTAGAAACAAAACGAGAAACAGAATGTGAAGCATTAGGTTTGACATATATCCCCCTGCCCAGATATACTATGTAGTCAAACACAATGTACATCTATGTTATAGCCAACAAACCTATATATGGGGTCCTGTGGAAAAAGCAATACAGGACAATGTAATTAAAAACTTTATCATAATGGATATGCACAAGCAGGATGAATTAAGGTAGCATGGGTAACCATAATTCTGGCATTTCCTAACTTTTGAACATTTGACTTTACAACTTCAACATTCTTTTAATGTAGATTTTTTTCTATGTAATTTCCTATTTTTTTAAACAAACTGAAAAAACTAAAATAGTATTATGTGGAACTATACTGACTCCCCAGTTTGGGTCTTCAGAAGGGTTGGATCCATCACATAGGCTTCTGCCTCTTGAGACAATGTAGTAACTGATAGCAGTAGTAGGTTGTCATCCTCTGTGTAGACCCTGCACTAGCAGGGGGATGAGACACACACTTGCCAGTGGGTTTCATAGCTATTTGCTGAAAGCAGAGGAACGTAGAGACTCAGCCACTCTTCAGATCAACTCCAGATTTTGGAGGGGAGTGTCCTATATTGGTTATTCAAGCAATTGAAAACTGGGTCTTATACTGGGAATTGTCAGGCAACCTTAACTATAGTAGTGATGTGAGTGAGCTGCTCTTGTGAAGGCTGAGTGGGTGTTTCCATGATATATAAAATCCCACTGTCCATGTTTCTTTCTTTGTCCTCTTCAAATAAGCTTGATTTTGGTACTACATGTACCTTAAGATCTAGCTTTTAAACCACACCTCTGTAGAAGGGGAAGTGTGGAGCCATGCTCCACCAGGAGGAGTGTCAAAGGCACAATCTCTCCCAGCACCGCTCCTTCTGCCAGGGGGTTGAGCAATTTGATGCATTCATTGGAACAGAGCAGATTGCTCCCCTTGGTGCATTAGCTCAGCTCTGAGTGGAAAGAGGGCAGGGCCATAACCCTTCTTCTTTCTTGCTTTCTCTTCAGCAAACACCTCTCTGGAAAGGGGAGCAGAAGCAAGCAGTTACTGTGCTACTAAAGAGTAGGCAGCACAGCTATTGCTAATTGCGTGTGGCTGTTTTGCCAGTTTGCATCAAGGTACTTGCACACAGCCATACAAGGGCAACACACAATCTAGCCCTACCTTGTCAAATTTGATGCAAACTGGCAAAAATTCTTCAGACTGCATTAAACCTTTGATTTTCTGTTTTACTGTTGTAGAACTATTAAAAATTAACCTGGGAGACTAATGATGCAATGATCAGATGCAAAAGAGATGCCCGTGTGCAGTTGTCCTCAAATTATGGTCTGTGCATTATGGTCCATGAAGCACTTGCTGGTGGTCCACTGATATGATGTTCATGCTATGAAAAAGTTTGAGAGCCCTAGCTCAGAAGGCTTGACCCAATCCTGGACCTGGTACACAGTTTCTTGGGAGCTGCTATACCAAGTATTTTTCCACTGTGTGTGTGTGTGGCTGGCAGTCTATGTTACAGAAGTGGGCATGAGAGACACAATGAGAGGAGGGAAAAGAGCTGAGAGTGATCAGAGAAAAAGAACAAACCAAATGAAAGGCTACTTAGAGCAGAAAAAAAAATCAATTTAAAAAAGTGCCAGCATGACAAACATGAGTTGTATGGATTTTAATGTAAATAATGTACAGTAAAAATGTTAAAGCTGCACTCCTTGGGATGGAGGATAGGTTGAGGGGTAGGAATAGAATTACCCTCTTTGCTGCCAGAATGGGTGTGTGTCCTGGCAGCAGATTTCATTAGAAAATCCATTTATTTGACTGGAATGTCAAGACAGATCGCCACACGTGGGGTGGAAGTGGAACAGCTTCCTTCCCCAGCATGACTGGTGCCTCCTTCATGATGAAGTTATTAATCATCTCCTTGTGTGAAGGAGAAAGGGGGAATTTAAACGGGGAAGAGTTTACAAATATCCTTTCATTAAAGGACCAGAATCTGTTCTCAGGTATGCTGGTTTAAATGTAAAGTAATTCCTCTGAAGTCAAAGGGCCAAGTTCTGCTCTCAACTTGCAAACCATGCAGCCCCTTGACTTCAGCTGGGCCACAAGAGTGTAAGTGAGAGCAGAATTTGGTAAAAGGAGAGCAGGGGGAACGTATCAGGGTGTACTATCCCTTAAAGGGCAGGGACAGCCCAGTACTCCTGTCACTTGACCTTGGCCTCTCTGAGGCCAGGTATTCTGGGGGTTGTGGACTCATTAGGGAGCATGTGACTGGGAGCAAGGCTTGCTGAGAAGAGGGAAAGCAGGATAAAAGACGGGTTGTTCCTCAGTAAGAGGAAAGACTAGGGATTTGTCAGGACCTGGAGTAGGGCTCTGCTCTAAGGGAGCTGTAGAAGTAGCCCATGGAGGAGCTTGGGAGAAGGGCCTGGGAGGAGGGAATGCTGGGGAGGCACAAGCAAGTTCAGTGGAGTAAAAGTCTGCTTGTGACACTGAGGGGGTGAGGTTCAGAGGTGCAGGAAAAGCAGGAGAAAGCACTAGCCTGGGATGACAGAAGAGGTGTAGGACTGCGGCCAGGCATGTGAACCTTTTCTCATTTAGTGGCCCAGGCTGGTGCTTCGACAGAGAATCAGAAGAAGGTCCCTTCACTTCTCTGCATCCAGGGAAAATGCCAAGGTGGGCTCTATTGGCATCAGCCTGCATCCACAGAGGGAACCCTAACAAGGGGAGGAAGCCTGGGGGAGGGTAAACCACTCTTTGCAACCATCAACAGAAGTGAAGGTGGTGGCCCAGGAAAGCTCAGGTTATTGTTTTGTGTTTGGATTCTTGCTTACCCCAGAAGGGAAGGTCTTTAGAGTTTGGCTAGAGGACTGCTTCACATCAGTGGAGCCAGTCTCCAGAGAGGGGCCACGGAGTGAGTGGTCATACTGGATGCCAGTAAGATAAGAACCCCACCACAGGGATATAGCTGGGTAAAACTGACTCCTCTTTTTGCAGTCTGAACATAGGACTCCCATTGTTATAAATAGTTTCTGCTTCATCAGACCCTCTAGTGCTGAGGATTTGCCTTTTTCATTTCTCTTGTCTCAAGAACTTTTACCTGATATTAGTAACTCAAAAAAGACACTAGGAGATGGCCCCTCTGGACAATGAGGTTTATTTCCAGTATTGGACACCCCACTTATACAGATACAACATAACCACATACCTGTGTCCAGTCAGAAAGAAGCCATTCACTGGGACAGTCTTTGTTTTTGCAGGCTTGTTGGGAAACTGGCCTCGGAGTGGAGCAGAAGGTTTCTGGAAGCTCCAAAAAACTTCCATCTGCCATGCGCTGCTTACAGAGCACATCTCGCTTCTCAGTGCCTGCTCCACATGTCTGTGAACACTGGGGGAGATCGAGAGAAGCTGAGGGAGTGGGAGTCATCCATTCTGACCTTAAATTCTGACTTGTGGCCATTTCCAAGTAAAGAGCAAAGAAACAAACAGCACAATGGAAACTGCCTGTTGGTCTTTCAGCTCACTCTGAAACCATTCATTAATCAACAAACCCAAACTTAGCTCCCCACCTTAAAGTCCTGAATTTGAAATACATACTGCATTGTGGGATTTCTCAGATTTTTAATTCGTGGGAAAGCTGCACATGGCCTCTGATCTGCAGCTACACTAAACAATTGGTTTATAAGGTTAGTATAATAAACCCATTAAGCAACCACATAGCCCTTTATATTTATGATTGTCAGTGACAACAGTGTGTGCTGTTTCCAAAAGGGAAGGAGGAAGGTTTATTTGACTCGATGTAGATCTGGGAGATTAATTTCTAGGGATTCCAGCTACCCGCTCTCCTAATATAAATAACCTCCTCCATATCCAATTCCACCCAAGGAGGGTAGGAACTTTAGAACAAGCATATTTAAGAGCTTTCTTTGACCCTCTTCTATAAACGTGGCAGCTCAGCCCTACTTCCTGATGCACTTGTCATTTGGCTAGAAATACGCTCATTTTCTCCTGTACGATCCAACTAACACAGTTCCAGGTCTGTCTCATCCTATCAGAGGAGAAAAGAAAACCTGAACTAATCTTCTGAAATCAATGGGAGCTGCTTATAATCTGCAGCAGGGGAATGGGACCTGAGAAGTAGAGCATGAAGTAGAAAAATGTTAACAAACATATTCAAGTAGTTAAAAAATGAATGCTCTATAAAACATTGTAGACATCCTGGGGGTCTCTCTCTCTTTCTCACACACAGACATGCTTAAGTCCAGGCCTCATGTTACTAGAATGTAATTGGTCTTGAAAGACAAAGTGGGAAGTGTAGCCATTAGAATTGTGTAAAAAGATTTGCATTCAATTTTGTTTTGCTTTCTGAGAACTGAAGCCTTGTGGTCAAGAACAGAGAACAGGTAAAGTTTATTATTATTGTTATTGTTAGAAGTAATAGTATTGCAGCAGCACCGAAGTATTCCAGTCGGAGATCAGAGCCTCATTGTGCTACATACTGTACAAAACACCTAACAATAAGATGCTTCTTGCTCCAAAGAACTGACAGTCTAATGTCCGGGAATCACCCCTCCTTTCAAACCCCTTGAATTTATTGAGAGGAGAGGGAGAAAACAGAATTTTTCTACCAATTCTTTTTTCTCTGGCCAGTCAGGTAATCTTGTTCTGTGAAAATTAATCAGCTACTCTATATCAGCCTCGGTATTTCAAAACACTGGAAAGAATGCAGAGATGGCAACAGATTCCCTCTCTGTCCTGATGACTCTATCTAATGCAAGGCTAGACTAAAACACGGGCACTATTAGCTCCCAGAATCATGTTATTACTTCAGACTTTTCTTTTAATGGAAGATTCTAGCCCTCATGGCTTGCCCCTTGCATCTCCATGGTGTGCGTTAACTCTTTCTACTGCTCTGGGGCCCTTCATCAACACCGCTCCAGCAGAGGACTTTGTGAGTGTGGCAGGAGGAGAAAAGCCTAGAGGCTAGGCCCATTCACTTACGCAGGCACACTGGGTAAGTCCTGGGGGGCCACCGTGCTGCTAATCCTTCTTCCCCAGGGAGTGGTGCACAAACTGTGGAGAACAGAGAGGTGTGGAGAAAGAAGGTGGGGCAATGCCTCTGTGCCCCATCTTTGCCAGTTCATGGAGCTGGCTGAAAGTTCTGAGGGATGGTGCTGCGTATGCAGTTCTCCCTGCCCACTGGGGCATTCGGGAAGATACTGCACCTCCTAAGGACACCCCAACCCTCCGCCCAAGTTCCTCCTGCAGCAATGCAGAGCTGCATTGCCCCCTACACAGTCTAGCCTTCAAGCATGGTTTTTACTGTATAAAATGACTTGCTTCTATGGTTCCGTAGCAAGGCAGAGCAGCTGCGATGGGAGCCTAGAGCAGGCATTTTCCTGCCAGCAGCTCTGCAGGATCCAGCTGGCTCCTAAAGCCTGCCACTTCTTAAATTTAAAAAGACATTTTAAAAGAAGGAGAAAAGTAGCTTGGAAAAGTTTGAGGAGGGCAGTGGTTTTCCAGTGCTGATCTAGGTCAGGCAATTGTCGCAGAGTAACCTTAGTGACAGGACAGCACTAAGCACCCACAGAGAGGGACAGGCCTGAGACTTTGGCCTTTATTCAGTAATAAAACCAAAAGAGATTAAGATTTATTAATGTGACATCTCCCACTTGATCCCTGTAGAGCAGATATTTACTAGGGCTTGTAAAAAACGAATACTTATATCCACTTTCCTTCAGAAACGCACTACTGAAAACAAGATAAACATCCTAATGGCTCGATCCTAGGGACACAGCATTTTTAAAATAAATATAGTCTTGAATTTATAAGGATGTATTTTTAATCATTCGGAATCTTACAGGTGTTGATGATTATCGGGACTTTATTTGCCAAGGACATTGGGGCTTTTAAACGCATCTAATTCAGACCATCTTCCTTTAACAAACAAATAGCCTCAGAGAAGAAAATATCATTCCTGAACCGTTGTAGGTTAAAACTTTTGTTGTTTAAAAATTACCAGGAGGGACTGCTATGAAAAGCAGAACCATAGACATTACATGGGCAAAATTCACAACTAGTCAGGAGGCAAGCACAAGGGCCTGTGTGGCACCTTAAGGGCTGATGTGGGACCTTAGGGCTTGTCTACACTAACAATTAGCCTGTGGCAAGATGGGGTGTGAATCTACCCTGCACTAGCCTGCCATGCTGTAGCTGTGGTGGACCCTGCTGACGCATGTTAACAGTTCGTTAAGGCGCTTTGATCCAGTTCTGTTCCAAAGAGGATTTCGAACTGCTAATGTGCATAAGCAAGGTCCACATGGACAGCTAGATCATGGCAGGCTAGTGCAGGGTAGATTCACAACCCAGCTTGCCACAAACTAAGTGTTAAAGTAGACAAGCACTAAGTGATTCATCAACTTTGCATGGGCCCTGCACAGTAGTAGATTTCACCCTATGTAAATTCTACTTTAGATAAAATGCTTATAGGGAAATTGCAGCCTATCTTGCTGTGGGAAAGGTGTGTGTTCCGATAGGGGCTTGCTTCACCTCTGCTGGAAATGAACCCTCCCCTGCAACCTGCGAGGGGGATTCGCCCTGAGTCAGGGTAGGCAGTGTTTGAACTCTTCATGGAAAGTTCTGCAGCTTTAAACTGTGGCCAGACCTTCACATGAGTCCGCCAGTGGAGGTTCCCTGGGAGATAAGCTGAAACAGCACATACCCCACCTCTCAGGCCAGATCCTGTACCCCATATCGTGAGGGATGCACTGGCCAGTTGTGGCTTCCCCAAAGGAGAAGTAGCTGCCGACACCTGGAGCCATCACCATCCAACTCTGGGTGTCCTTTCTACCATTGTATGCTCTGTTCCGGAAGCCAACCAGTGCACTGTACACTCCACAACAGTGAAGAGTAAGAGAACTCACAGCGAGGGACACCAGAGGAAACTCTTACTCTTACAAAAAGGCCCTAGAGTGCAGATAGGGCCTCAGTTTTAAAGCCTGCTTCCAAAAACCAGCCTCCTCAATGTCCTAATGTAGATAGGACTGCAGCATACTGATATTCTGATAGTTCTCAACTACATTAGAGCAGTTTGTACTCTGCAAGAACTTGTTATATGTTTTTGTGTAGGCACAGGCAACTTTAAATCTGGCATTTCCTAACTTTTGGGGCACTTGACTTTGCCACCCTAGCATTCTTTTAATGTAGTTTTTTGGATGTAGTTTATAGTTACAGTACGTATGTCCAGGGTGTTGGATAGACACATTTAAAAATGTGTGTAATATATATATACACACACACACACACACACACCCCTTCATATTTTAAATGTGTAGATAACATTGAGTCTTTTTCAAGAGAAAGGAAGGACTCATGCTGTGTGGTTTTAGCAAAACAGCACACTAAATCAGAGACTTGTCGCCAAGATGGCTGCATAAGCCTGGAGCTCCCTCATGTATTACTGCCGTACGAGTTTAATAGCACCACTAGGTGAATATATTAACATGTCATCTAACTCAACTGGCTTTTAAAAAAGTGGCATACATTACAGCTGGAGCCAGGCATAGCATGGGAAAGTACTGGGTAAAACTCCCACTCATTTCCTATTGGGCAAAATTAACCCACATACAGAGGGCCAGCAAAAGGCAGATGTATCACTTAAATCCTACCCAAACCATATTTTGAACATTTAAATGGGAGGTAAGTGGTGCATTGGCCTTTTTTCTGGCCTCTCTGTTGGGGAGTGAATTTCACAGTCAGTCCTGACCCGCAAGACCTCTTGTTGTGCAGGATTACACCTAACTCAAGTACTCTCAGTTATGTCAAGAAGCTCAGAGTTTTCTTTTGCATCTAGATGGCAACAAATTCATTTCAGTAGTGATCTAAAACAGATCTTCCAATTGCCTTCCAAAAACACTGACCCAAAATATCACACAATTTAGAAGTAGCTTTTTAGACAGAAGGCAACTCGGCACCCAACTACCACTGAAAGTCACTAAGACTGAATGGCCGTTTGTGACTTTGAAAAATCTCACCCTTAATCATTAGGGGACAGATCTCTCCACAACTAAAGTATTTCTTTCATTTTCAAGGAGTGCCCACAAACTTGTTCTCGTCATTCTCTCCTCCCACATCTGGTCTCAATACAATCTCTGTATAGCTCGACTCCTATGGACCCCGAAAGCCGTATGATGGCAGCGAAGAATTGTGTGGTGGTGGCACCTCTTTTCATTCCTCGTGACTCTGATTTATGATCTTTTGGATCTGAAGCGGATTCAGAGACAGTAATAGTCAATATCTATTTGTGAAAATTGTAATTAAAAATTAATAAAAATCACTTTAGTGAAAAAAAATTCTCTGTCTCTTTGTTTTTATATTGACCTTGTTTAAGATGAGATAACAAGATACCACTGTCCTGGGATCTTCAAGACAGACATCTATGTTTCATTTTTTAAATGAACTTACCATGCTGCCCTGTGTGATAAATGAATCTTCTTGCCTACACTGAACGACTATGTATCACTGACTAAACTAGATCAGTCTGTTTCATGAGCATCAGATGGGATACAATGGATTAGGGGCACCCTCTTACCTGTTGCCATTGTGTAGGGTACCAGGATGGTGGGCAGTCAAAGCGATTGCAGGCTTGCACTAAGGTGGGCTTGGGTTTATGACACAGCTCATCTGCCGAAATTACCGTCTCATTTGTCTCTCTTGAGAGGAGGTGAGAGCAGAAGACATCTCGAGTCTGCAGACCAACTCCACAGGTGAGACTGCAGGAGCTCCATTTCCCAATCTCCCACCTGAGAAGGGGCAGAAAGAGGAAGCCTTGAGCGTACAATGAAAACAGCATCATCTACTTCCTATCCCAATGATAGCTGGACTGGAGAAGCTATGAGTGAATGGAAACCGCTGAAGCTTCACTTTCAGATTAGTTTGGGTTCTTTTGCCCTTCCTCCCCTGCAGCATCCTCATGTCTGAATTAAAAAGGTAAACAGAATCACTGTTTGGTTATTGTTGTTTTGTATTGTAAATTCAAGTCAAATGCTCTCAGCAGCCTGCTGTCCCGTGAAAACATTTCTGCCTCACAAAAAAGGGTTATTGCTGGCTGGAGCACTTGAGGCTAAAGAGCCTCAAGATAGAACATGCTAAAACAGATTGGCTCTTTTGTGGAAGGACAGGGAGGAATAATCTAGCAACAATTTCATCAGTGTAAATGCTGCTGGCGCATTGGGGAGGAATCTCTGCCAGGAGATTAGGTTGTAGGATTCCTAATGACTTGCTGTTGTGGGTGGGAAATGCCATTGCCTTCATGAATGGCAGCAGGATGGCACCATTAGTGTTCCGAGTCACTGGCTGGATGCCGACAGCTACAAATGTCGCCTCTGTATCAATAGAGGGACTGTAGGTGCCAGTATAAACCTGGGCTGAATTTAGCCCTTAAAAATACCCTTACGTTCATCACAATAAACACAAAACTTTCTTGCACGTGGGTCCCGCCCCATCCCCACAGGTTAATTTAGGGAACTGACTGTTGAACACATTTACTAACATGGTCAACTATGCACAGACCCCAGCAAAAATAGCTGGGCCCGACACCACAGGAAGCCAGTGACTGACTTAAGGCTCTGACTTACACACACATTATTAAAAAGGAATCTTATGTTCATGATAGCAGCCCAAAATGTAATCTCATCAACCTTCCCCAAAACACTAGGGCTAGCCTTGAATGCTCCTATTTATGTATGGAAGACATGAGGGCTGGATTCTGCCACCTTTCCTAATATTGAGTCATACTTTCCTTCCTGTGTAGTCCCACTGAAATCAGACGGTGTGGGAGTAGGGCAATACTAAGGCGGAAGAATCTGTCACAGAGGAAGCAAAACAAGATAGAAACCAAAGGAAATGAGCATCAGGAGAGACACGGAAGTTGGAGACTCTGAATGGGACACAGGTAGAAACTGAAGGAAGACTGATTAAAAGCTGTAGAAGGAGCAGGAGGGAATCATTTAGAGAGCCATTTAACCTCACAAATCACAATAGTTATTCCGCCCATGACAATACAGAGCTGAATTAAACTGAGATCAGCAGCCACATGGAAATGGTGGGAGTCCGAACGTCGAGCACATTAAAGTTAGATAGAACACTGCACTAATAAATGCACTATCCAGAACCACCCTGCACTGGCAAGGAGATGGACTAGATAAAGTAGCAGATACATTCCATCTCCAACTCTTCTGGTTCTATGAGAAGGCTAGGTTCTATATTTGTTTTTTCTTTCTTACAATTATGTCTACATCAAATTGTTCAGGTTACAAGTAAAAAGATTCCCTCCCCCAAATGACAGGGCTGAGCTGCTCTGAGTGGGACCCAAAAGCCACAGCGTGCTCTTACTGGGCCAGATCTGTCAACAGGGCTCTGTCATTTGACACCAGCAGAGGCTATGCTTTGTACACCATCAGAAACAATAAAGATTCTGTAGTTGGAACTTAGATGCCCATTTGCTGGTGAAATCCAGCTCACCCTTCTTGAGCTGGTTTGGCTCTGCAGAGCTAGTGGCAATAATAAAAACTTGTTTTTGTCAACAAAATAACCCTATATAACATGGAGCACAGACTGAGTAAGAAGTTGCCATTTTTACATAGTCACTTTCCTGACCATAACACATTCAAGGCCAGTAAGTCTGATCAATGAACCAGCAGCTCTATTTCTTTTGAACAACAGTTGACATCTGGCAGCCAGTTCTGCTAATCCAGTGTGCTTCCCTTACAAATGAGAGTATTAAATCAGATTTCCCTATAAAGTTGTCAATCAAAATTAATGTGGATATCAGCTACCCTCTGTCCACTGAACATCTTAGACTAAGATATTTGAGTTGGATGCTAAAAAGAAGGCATTTTCCTCCTCATGGATCTATTTTGATACAGGGCTCATTATATCAGCTGCCAAAATTTCTTGTCTTCAAGAGTGGTTAGTAGCTGTTGCCTCCAGCAACTCGCTGTTTGTTTTGGTGTAAATGTTTCTGTTGACAGTTCACATCCAAGTGGATAGAGTGCCACAGTAACACTTCCTAACTCTTGGCTTCTGCAGAAGAGGATGTTTGTTTCTTTATACAAAGAATAATGTCATTTTTCGATAGGAAGAAAAGATTTGCCTTTGCAGCATTTAAATTTTTCTGTTGAAAGTTTCACCTATGTGTAACACTGGCTTGTTCAATTTTCTCCATTGACTCCAAATGGGAGAGTCTTAGAGGAGATCAGGAAATATGGGGTCAAATTCTTCCTTTGCTTACACTTGTGCAACCTCACTGACTTTAATAGCGTTTCAGAGGTATAAGTGAGAACAGAACTTGGTCCTTAACGGGGAGGTCTGAATAACCAGAAAAAGCAGGAGTTATGTGGATAATCAGTAGTATTTACAACCTACCAATGAAAAAGGACAAAGATCAGTGATAACATCACAGAAAATTATCACAGAATGTTTAGTACGGACAGGTTGGTTTCAACACTATTATTACTAGAACTGCCTAACACTTCCCATTATAAGACCCTATTTTTTCAGTTGCTTATAAAACTGTCCCAAACTTTTGATAATGTTCTTTTAATGCATGTGTGTGTGTGTGTAATTTTCTAGATTTTTAAAATACTATTTTTCCACAGGACCCCTGCCTCATTCAGTGCACCGGATGGGCCTCCTCTGGGGATAAATCGGATTTGTGTGGTGAAGAAGACTGTTGTTTGTAGGAGCCCTGTTTCATTTGTTGCAGAAATTGGAAGGTGTGTAGTGAATGAGGCAGGGGATTTCAGGAAAAGAAAGGATCGTCTTGTGGTTAAGGCAGCTGAATGATGCCCTAGGGAATCGGATTCTATCCCTGTCTCTGCCCCGGAGTTCTTATTTGATGCCAGCGAATTCACTTAAATCAAACTTCTGATAGGTGGTCACTAATAGCGTGTTCCTCATTTTCTGAGCTTGACCTCAGATCGTGGAGTCTGATTTGCAGAAATGCTGAGCACTCACAGCTGCAAATGAAGTCAATCAGAGTTGTGCTTTGAACATATAAAATGCAAAATAATGCTACATACTCTGAAAAACCAGGTTCTAGGAGTCTCATATAGGGCACCCAAAATTAGGGAACCTTAATATCTGTGTGTCTCAATTCCTCATCTGTAAAATGGGGGTAACGACTCCCCTCTTCTCACAGGGGTGTTGTGAAAATAAATTTATGTTTGTGAAGCACTCAGATACTATAGTGATGAATACCATAGTGAAGGCCATAAGGAAATTAATAATTCTGTCTTCAGAACAGGGTTTGAATAGTGTGCAGTAAATAAGATTTGGAGCCACACACTGAACAATGGGGAGAAAGACAATATTGAATAGCTGCTGATTAAATGAGCATCATCTATTCTGTGCTTCAGTGAGGCAAGGGGCATGTGGAAAATATATCATATGATCACGCAATTAAAGACTTTATCATAATTCATATGCACAAGGGGGCTCAATTAAGGTTGTGCAAGCAATCTTAATTCTGGCATTTCCTAACTTTCGAATCCTTGACTTTGAAATCTTGATAATGTTCTTTTAATCTGGTTATTTGCTGTGTAATTATATATGTGTCTGTCAAACTGCAGATATTTCAAAGTCCTTTATAAGGATGAGTTAAAGACTGGTACTTCAGAATGGCTACATAGGCAACGATTATACTCTCCCTGAGCTAGCCTTGGGCATTAAAACCTGTTTTACAAAAATAGAGAATACTGGTTAGGACAAAGGGTTAACTCCTGTTCTTTCTGAGATGTCATGGGATCTTAACTTACACTTGAACCACCAGTGATAGGCACCTGATGAGTTTAGAGACTCATCTGAAGAATGGCTGCTCTCATGACACTATGGTGAAAGTTGCTATATTAGGGTTAGATTAGATAGCACAACATCTCTTCACCCCATGGCTGTGGGCATAACTCAAATCCTGTTGCTGGTAACAGTACTGAATTATTATAGTCAGTTAAGGTCTGATCTTATACACTTGAATAAAGTATTTGAAGGGTCAGGAACTGAACAGAGAGAGGTTTGTTTAACTGGAACTGACTGTGGCAGTTAGAATAAAATAATATATAAAAAGCTATAAGGAATATTTATTCTTGCTAGTTGACAGACCAGCTGACAGTTTTGGCTTTGTACTCTCTCTATTGTTTCCTGAAAGCCAAAGAGAAAGATTGCATGATCTTTGTTTGAAACACACTCTTTGTCTCTCCTCCCCCACACATCTGCCAGTGCCCAAAGCAATATCAGTAAGTAGCAGCAGAACTGCAATGCCATTCCAGCTTTTTCCACAGAAAACTTAGGATGTGTGTACATCAAGCCATTCGGCTGTGCTTGCTGTAGGTCTATTAGTTTACCTGTAAGGGCAATGCCTGAAACAAGTAACCTCCCCAAAACCTTTCCCCACCCCACTTAACTCCTGGAAAGCAGTTTTATATTTTAAAACACAAATGAGACGCCTAAAAGATTTCAGCGACCATACCTCACAAGGACCAGAAGCAGAAAGCTTTTGACCTTTGCATGGACTTGCATACATACGCCACACTGAACTTTTGAACTGGCTGAAGAAAAACTGTTAATACTGTTACAGAAAAACAAAGGCATTCAGAGATTGCTGAAAAGAGGAAGGGAAAATAGAGGGGGAAAAGACTATTCACAGCGCTTGATGTGTTTGGGATTTTTTCCCATAGTTACACTTTGCAAATGAGCGTAAATGAAAGGAGGTTTATTTTCAAAGGTTCCTATGGAACTGCAGAGTATG